CAATAAAATGTGTACACTCTTTTTCACTTTGGTCACCTCAATTGTCGTTCTAGGTCTTTCATTTTGGTATCAATGTGTTCACAATAGAATTCAGTATCCACTCGATTTAACAGCCTATATGGGGCTGTACCCTGGTCGTTATTTCCGGAGCTCCGGTATTTCCGAAGTTAAGTGTCTTTTTTTTTTCAAGTAACATTCAGGTAAGATATATTTTGTACAGACTGCCACTTGGACCACTACTCTAGTGCCTTCTACCCTGTGATGTCACAGATTCACAGCACATTGTTTTGATTTGTCAAGAGGCTGGAGTGTTCATTCCGTGACTTTGATGGACATATCTGCACAATCAAGAAACATCCGTGCACCATATCGGCTCCAAATGCACTCATTGTGACAGTGGTGGGTGGATGGGCAGGCAGGCGGGGAGGGATAGGCGGGCAGGCAGGCGGGGAGGGAGAGGCGGGCAGGCAGGCGGGGACGGAGAGGCAGGCAGGCAGGCAGGCAGGCAGAGCTTGGGAGGGAGGGAGGGAGGGAGGGAGGGAGGGAGGCAGAGGCAGGGAGGGAGAGGATGGAGGGATGGAAGGATCGGAGGGAGGGAGGGAGGGAAGGATGGATGGAGAGAGGGATGGAGATAGATGGAGGGTCTTCCATTTTGGTATCAATGTATTCGCAATGAAATTCCCTACAGGAGTATATGCATATAATGTCCAAAACCGCAGCAAGACCTTTCCGAAGACGCCGCTACTGTTGCCGCACCGACGACACAATGCTGCGTCATTGCCGGAAGTCCGTCTACTAAACGGACGACACAATGCTGCGTTGTTACTGGACTATAATGCTAAAAACCAAGCAGGTCAGAGCAGGGGCTTCCAAACGGGCATATAACCTGGCATGATGGTACACAGAAAAACGTCTATGCAACGCTACCGCTATCTGATACCTTGGAATATCAGATGAGGAAAGGATATGGCATACATGTCCTACAAGACAAAGTGGAACAAGTCTCACACAATTCCGGGCCATAGGTGTCACCGACCCAACAAGCAACATGGCAGAGGCAGAACGGACAATCGTCACCCTGAGGCAGGGGCGACGACCAACCCTCAAATTCACACAAGGTAAGTGTGGGCTCAGAAGAGGTATCCATAGTACAACCGAGCCTGCAGGGGTTTTCCAGGGCCTGTAAGGTGAATGAGCATGTAAGGTGATTGTAGCTGACACTAGGGCCAGTTATGACGGTAACCCCTGTTGATGCAGTAAACTTGACTACTAGAAAACTGCCAGAAAGCCCCGTTGGGAGCAGAGGACCTCTCCCACACACACCCTAGGCTAGCCTAATAATGCAAAAGGCAGAACTTCCCCACCCAAATAAGTGAACAAAAGCGCTAGCAAAAAGACGAGAAATTAAAAAAACTCTGGACCCTCCAGAAGCAAACATGCAGCCCAGGAGAAACCTGGGTGCACCCGAGCTATCTGAAGAGCCGGCAACACTAGCTGCAGTGTGCCCCACCAGCCAACAACACTCCCCTACCCAGGGCAAGATGGAAAGCTAAAAGCCCCTGACACACCCCAAGGGCAAAGACTACCACAAGTGAGGAAGTCCTCTAACATACAGTGATTCTCGAACTTCCCAGTGAAGATAACCCAGGCCACGCAAGGGCAGTACTTATGGAGCAGATAGGGAAGATGAAGGAGCACATACAGCTCCAGTACTCTTAAACTTCTGGCCAGTGCACAAGTCTGTGCAGGAATAGCTTCACAAGGCAAAACACCAACAAAAACAAGAAACTGTGGCCAGACAAGCCGAAGACCACCAGGCATGACATCAGTCAAAAAATGACTAGTGGTGGCCCTTCCTCTAATGAAGGGAAAAGGAGCTGGCCCTACCCCCCCCCCCCCCTTCCCCTTATTGGGGGTGTGGGCTGTTGCACTATCCCATGTAAAGTGTTCTGGGCCATTGCTCCCTGTACCTTTCTGAGGAGGTCAGGTTCTGGCTTGTGGTTCCTGATACAAGAACTCAGTGACCGATGACTCCAAGTAGTATGGCACTTAATCAATATAGATAGCTTCAGGGAGCCGATGGGGCTCCCTGAGAAACAGAAGAGAAGAGATTGTCCACTAGCCAGAAACACTGCTCGCTCGTAACAAAGCAAGTACAGCAAGGACAACCTAAACTCAAAGAGGCAGGGGTCCATCATAGGGGCTAAATCTGGGTAGTGCAGAAGTACCTGTATTTAAAAAGATTTGCTGGACCCACCAAAGGGAGGACCCATGAAGGAAGCCTCTGGAAGGATGAAGTAAGAGACCATGTGGTATGCAGAAAGGAACCCTAGAGTGAGGTGCAGAAAGATCAAAATCATACAAGGAGGGTAGGAAAACCTCTTATCCTGAAGCAAAAGGCCCTCATCAGAAGAGAAGAAGGACTAAGTTGGGTCTAGGGGAACCTAAGGACTACAATCCAACTAACCTAAGCCCCAGAAGCCAAACACACATGCTTCAGGGCAAAGCTGGAGTCCGTGCTCACCATGTGGGACAGAAATGCACAGTCATGAGGAGAGGTCTCAGAAGAAAGAGTCAGATGATAGTAAGGAACCCACTGAAATATTTTCAGGAGTAGGTAGCTCAACTGCCTCAACTGCCTCCACTCGTGATTTTGAAGGAGCCATCACTAGAGAAGGCCGAGTCACATCCGAGTTAAAACCAATCCCAATTCCAAAACCTCAGACGTTTCGGAGCTGAAAGCATGGTGTGAAGAATGGAAGCCAGGCACATCAAATGACCAAAGAGCCAGAGCTCAACCCCCGCATGCACAACTAGGTAAGTACATCACACTCGAAGGGGAAGGAAGAGGTGACGCTGATGCAACGAATGTAGTTGCCAACATCTCCAATTCCGGGTCCCTAAAAACAAGACGGGCCAACTCCAGGACATCCAACTGGGCACAAAGCTGCAAACGCTGAGGATGGGAAAACTGAACCGCAAGGCGGCAGCATGATTATACTTCTCTAGGAGGGTCTGAGAGAAGATCCACATGGGGGGGGGGGAAACAAATCACACAGGACTCAGGATAATGGGAGTCACCAACCCAACACGTAACATGTCCGTGGCAGAAAGAATGATCATTGCCCTATGGCACAGACTATGAACAACCCTCAAACTTGCACATGGCAAAATTGGATTCAAAGGGGATACCCAAAGGCAGGGTATTACCAGGGTCTGAAGGACTAAGAAACAAGACACCCAGGCACTGGGGCTGCTCAGTAGGAATTACATAGAGCAACACAGCCTAGTAAATATGGCTGTGAACTGTCAGTGTACCCCAAGCCAGGGTCTAGACAGAGGGGCAAAGACCATTGACACACCCAAGGTAAGGGCCCCCCCACTCTGGTAGTTTGGCTTCTAAAGAGCAAATTTCTGAACATACCAGAGAAGAGAACTATCAGTGTATGGGCAGCACTAGGGAGGACATAGGAAAGGTAGTCCTGAGCACATGGGCTCAAATTGGGCAGAAAACAAGCTCATGAAGCTAACTAAAACAAAGAAGAATACCAAGCAAATGTCCCCACAGGACAAAGTCCAATGATGGCTGGCACTAAGCCAAGAAATAGCAGGACTTGTACAGCTAGTTAACGACCTGTGAACCCTATAGTGGTGTCCACATGCAATCCATCCTCCGAATAGACAGTACGCTTTAATACAAAATGTAATAAGTACATTTCCTGACTGTAATGCATAGTATAAAATCGCACTTATGGGGCTATCTTGAGGTTATCTTGAGATGATTTCGGGGCTTTAGTGTCCCCGCGCCCGGTCCTCGACCAGGCCTCCAACCCCAGGAAGCAGCCCGTGACAGCTGACTAACACCCAGGTACCTATTTTACCGCTAGGTAACAGGGGCATAGGGTGAAAGAAATTCTGCCCATTGTTTCTCGCCAGCACCCGGGATCGAACCCGGGACCACAGGATCAGAAGTCCAGCGTGCTGTATGCTCGGCCGACCGGCTCCCTAGTCGGCCGGCTCTACCTACCAGGAATTATTTTGCAAGAACCTGGTCCCCCCTCAGAGAGGCACAGGAAGCAATGGCCCATGAGCACTTTACATCTATAGTATGTATTACCCAGAAAGGTAGGCAAATCAAAACAGACCACTGTCTGGTTAATCTGTGCTATCTACATCACAAAAGATCAAAATAACTCACCTAGAGTTATTTTGGCTGTTACTGATTACCTCCCCATTTATTCTCCTCATTTTCTGTTAAAACACTCAGAATTTTAGGGCTGCCACATGAGCGACACAACTGGCCTAGAAAACTGGGGGAGACCAGGAGCTCCGGGCACTTCCATACTGGCAGGGTGTTAGTGTTATAAAGCTGGTGGTAGTTTTAAGAGATTCCATCATATATTTACAATGTTTGGTAATTTCATTTGGCAGTTCAAGACTTTGGTTTTTTGAACCCAGCGTTGATCTATATGGGTTTACTGACTTTCTAGATGCTTTCCCAGTGAGGTGACAGAGTGTCACCTGCTCTCTGAGCCTTTATGAGAGAACTAGGTTCTGGCTTGTATCCCCAGTAGGCCAAACAAAATTCCATTGCTGACCTAGTACAGTACTTCGGAGCCATCTCAGTGAGATAGCTTCAGGGACTCACATGGGGCAGATGGCCAAGACCCCAGGTTGCCTAGACCTTCATCTATTGGCAGGTAAACATATTACAGCAGGAATCTCCCCACAATAATGATTGTTTGCATGGTTTTCATAAGGTGTACACATTTTTCTAAGCAGGTGCTTGCTTTAGAGCACTTTGGCTTCATCGTCCTACAACCTGGCAATGACCAAGCTTTTGGGATCATACCAGGTTGTAGCATCAGAAAGCTACTGAATGTTACCTTCACTGCTGGATTTTCCTTTGGAGATTCAGGGGCCTCCTAGAAATAGAATGCAACACTAAACAAATAACATATCCAGGTTATATTTGTTTTTTTTCTCCTTATTTTAGTTACCTGCACAGCAATTTCTCCACATGTTTGCAATAAAAGAGATGTCTGAAGATCATCTGGTAGCACGCTATAGTTTTGCGATCCAGTACTAGTGACACCGGCCACGTTACCCGATAACCAAGTGAAAACCCCTGAAGTCCAGTTAGTTGCAGACGCTCCTCCTGTGGGTAGTAGTCTCGTTCAGCCTCTGTCTCAATGCTGTTGTGAGAATTGAAAGCCTCAGAAATCGATTGTATGATGTAATTCATAATTCAAATGTATATCATTACATTACTGTGAGCTGTTTCTGGAATGAACTTTTAAAAATTACTTTTCAAATTACATGTAATTAAAAATTTATAAAACTATACAGCACATGAAAAATAACTGAATTAATTTTTATTTAATACATTTTCTGGGGGGAGCCCCTTTGGCTCCATGGAGCTATCCAGGCTGATATGGTAACGTCAGACTTTGGCATCAGTCATGTGTATGGGGTTCTTTGGACCTACCGGGGACCACAATCCAGAACCTGGCCCCCTCAGAGAAGCATGAGGAGCAATGGCCTATAGAAACCACCATGTGGTTGGAAGCATTCTATGTCTGCCATCGACCGGGTCAGGCACCCAGAAAGGTAAGCATCCAAAACAAACCCCTATTCTGATGAATATTGCTACAAAAATCCAAACTAGACGACAGAACTCTCCAAACAGAAATGAGCAAACGAGCATGACGTTACACATCGCCGTGCCACTGTCTGCGCAGCTCCCCCCTCCCCGGGAGGGGGAAGGGGGAGCCCCAGACCCCCATGCCGGCAATCCACACCCCAGTTTTGAGGCTAATGTCATAGGCAGAGGTCGTGTGCTCTGGCTCCGGGGACAGTTTCAGCATTGTGCCTTGTGTGTGGTGGCTGTCTTCTAGGTGGTGCGCACAAGCCAGGAGAATTTCTTCAGTACTCGGGCTGCATGCGCCTAGGGTTCCCTGCCCTAGGTGCACAGTTAGTACTGCCCTTGGGGCTTGGGGCTACCTTCCACAAGTTCCTTGGGTTCTGCCTTTGCTAGGCCATTTACTGATCGGTTTTGGCCACCCTTTGGGTGCTTGGGTGTTTTGTCTCCCTCGTTTACCTTAGGGTAGGAGGCAGTTTGCACTGGTAAGGGGCACAGGGTACTGCGCAGCTTGTTTTCACCATTCATAGTGGCCGGCTCTGTTCCGCCTGGGTGCGCTGTCTTCTTGCGGGGTTTTCTTTTTCTTTTTCCTGGTAACCTTTGAAAGTAAGGTTACCTTGACCCCCTGATGGGGGGGTCTGCCTTGGTTGTTGCCCCATGTGTACGAGTAATGAGTACGGCTTTCTCTTCTGGTGGTACCCCCACCCCCCCAGGTGCCCGCGAGTGCACACGTCCTGGGGGCTCAGCTCTTAAGAGTGTTTGGTAGATTTGGGCGCCGGTTAGCAGTACTCTGCCTGAGCGAGAGTTCCGTCTCAGGACCCTGGGAAACCCCACGGGGGTGTGCGGGTCCGATGGATGTGACCCCTGAGTCCCCCCTTGCTTTGTGCGAGTTCGAGGGTTGCTCTGTCCCCTTGTCTCCGGGTGACTTACTGTTTTTGCCTCTGTTTTGCTTCCTGTTGGGTCAATGACATTTTCGACCCAGAGTCCTGCGAATTTTGTTGCTTGCTGGTGACTCAGTTTACCCAGTCCAATGATGACCTTATGGGGTACAAGCAGCACAGGCATTGCATGTGCGCTTTAGGTTGTTGCAACGTGCTCGGTTAGTTGCTCACCTGGATGCCCTGTTTTGCTTATAGGGACCTGGACTTAGGGGTGATGGTCACTTTGACCTTGGATCTGTCCGCACCCCCCCCCTCCTGCGTCCTTTCCCTGCTGTGGTTCAGTCTCCCCCCCCCTACTTCCTGTCCCGAAACGTCTGAGGGTTTCGGAGTCGGGGCAGGGGTTTACATGGTTTTGAGACACGGGCAGTCTCGGGGTATGCCCCTTCCAGTGTGGCGATGGAGGCATTCGAGTTCGTTCTCAACGCCGAAGCCTCTAGGTCTGATCAGTGGGCCCCCTTCCGACCGGCTTTTACGGCTGCACTGGCATTTTCTTTTGAGGTGGGGCTTTGGGAGATGACTCGGCCCCAGGTCCTATGGTTACCTTACCTTGAGGTTACCTTGAGGTGCTTCCGAGGCTTAGCGTCCTCGCGGCCCGGTCGTCGACAAGGCCTCCTGGTTGCTGGATTGGTCAACCAAGCTGTTGGACGCGGCTGCTCGCAGGCTGATGTACGAATTACAGCCTGGTTGATCAGGTATCCTTTAGAGGTGCTTATCCAGTTCTTTCTTGAACACTGTGAGGGGTCGGTCAGTTATGCAGTTATGTCCCTTACGTGTGTTGGAAGCATGAAGAACAGTCTCGGGCCTCTGATGTTGATAGAGTTCTCTCTCAGAGTAGCTGTTGCACCTCTGCTTTTCAAAGGGGGTATTCTGCACATCCTGCCATGCCTCCTGGTCTCATGTGATGTTATTTCTGTGTGCAGGTTTGGGACCAGCCCCTCTACTATTTTCCATGTGTAAATAATTATGTATCTCTCCCGCCTGCGCTCAAGAGAATACAGATTTAGGCTCTTTAGTCGGTCCCAGTAGTTTAGATGTTTTACTGAGTGGATTCTAGCAGTAAAGGATCTCTACACGCTCTCCAGGTCAGCAATTTCTCCAGTTTTGAAAGTGGCTGTCATTGTGCAGCAGTACTCCACTCTAGAGAGCACTAGCGTCTTGAAAAGTATCACCATCGGTATAGCATCTCCAGTTTGAAAGGGTCTTGTTATCCAACCTGTCATTTTTCTTGCAGTTGTGATAGCTACTTTATTGTGCTCTTTGAAGGTAAGGTCTTCCAACATGAGTACACCCATATCCTTTACACTGCCTTTTCGTTCTATGTTATGATTTGACTGAGTTTTGTATGTGGTTTCCGTTTTTATATTTTAATTTTTTCCATAGAGCATGAGCTGGAACTTATCTTCGTTAAACACCACATTATTTTCTGTAGCCCATAGAAAGACCTGATTTATGTCTGATTGGAAGTTTGCTGTGTCCTCTATGTTGTCGTCTACTCTGATGAAAATCCTAGTGTCATCTGCAAAGGATGATACAGTATTATAGATTGTGTCCTTGTCTATGTCCAACATGAGGATGAGAAAAAGTACAGTACTGGAGCAAGCACAGTACCCTGGGGGACTGCGCTCTTCAAGGTTGATGGACCGGATTTTATTTCATTGACTATTACACATTGGGTTCTGTTAGTCAGGAAATTGTAGATCCATCTGCCTATTTTTCCAGTAATTCCTTTTGAACGCATTTTATGTGCAATAACACCATGGTCACATTTGTCAAAGGCTTTTGCGAAATCTGTGTAAATTACATCAGCGTTTTGTTTGTCTTCAATGGCATATAATGCCATATCATAGTGGTCCAGCAACTGTGACAGGTAAGAGTTCTGAAACCATGTTGTCCGGGGTTGTGGAGATGCTGTGATTTCCATGTATTTTGTGATCTTACTTCTTAGCACTCTCTCAAAGATTTTTATGATGTGCGATGTTAGTGCTATCGGTCTGTAATATTTTGCCTCTGCCTTATTTCCTCCTTTATGGAGTGGTGCTATCTCTGCTGTTTTTAGTATGTCAGGGATAACGCCAGTATCTAAACTTTGTCTCCAAAGAATGTGAAGGGCTTGCGATAGTGTTTTTTTACAGTTCTTGATGAATATGGAGTTCCAAGAATCAGGGCCTGGTGCAGAGTGCATAGGCATACTGTTTATGGCTTCTTGAAAATCCAGTGGGGATAGCGTGACATCTGATATATGATTTGATGTTGGTATCATATCCATGAAAAATTCATTTGGGTTTCCATCTTTAGTGTGTTTAGTGGCTCGCTGAAAACAGAGTCGTACTGCTTCCTTAGTATCTCCTTCATTTCTTTGTTGTCATCAGTGAAAGTTCCATCTCCCTTTCGCAGGGGCCCAATACTAGATGTGTTTTTTTATCTTGATTTTGCATAGGAGAAAAAGTATTTTGGATTTGTCTCTATTTCACTGATGGCCTTTTGCTCTCTTTGGCTCTCCTGGGTTTTGTATGATTCTTGTAGCTTTACTTCAATTGTTTCTATTTCTCTACCTAACTTTCTTTGCCGTTCTTGAGATAGGGTGTGACTCTCAAGTTGTTCGGTGATTCGTTTTCTTCGCCTATAGAGGGAACGACGTTCTCGTTCCAATCTGTATCTCTTCCTCTTTTTTTCTTAGGGGTATGCAGTTTGAGCATATTTCTAGTGCTACTGGGCTTATTTTTTCCAGGCACTGGTTCAGGTTTGCATTTTCTAGCTGTTCTTCCCAGCTTATTTCTGTGAAGTCTTGGTTTATTTGCTCCCAGTTTATCTGTTTATTATTGAAGATGAATTTGCTGATATCTCCACCACCAGGAATCGGGACTGGTTTTGAAGGGCTATTCCCCATGCTTGTCAGAACTTCAATTAAGTTGTGATCTGAGTAACAGGTATTTGTAATCATTATGTTCCTGATCAATTCATCATTATTGGTGAAAATTAGGTCCAGCGTGTTCTCCTTCCTAGTTGGTTTTACTATTTGCTGGTTTTTTACTATTTGCACATCCGTAGCAGGTCATTTGCATGTGCCTGTTCATTTAGGCTACTTCCTGGTATTCTTTCTGATATAACTGTATTAGCTAGGTTCTTCCATTTCAGGTGCCGTAGCTTGAAGTCCCCAAGCAGAATGATGTTCGGGGCTGGATTTGTGAGGTTTTCCAAGCAGTGTTCTATTTTCATTAGTTGGTCTTTAAACTGCTGGTGATTTGCCTCCGGGGACTTATATACAAGGACAATAACTAAATTTAAAATCTCTATTTTGATTATCAGCACTTTGACCATATCATTTGTGGTGTTTAGCATCTCAGTACAGATGAGTATGTCTTTGATGTGAAGGCTGACCCCACCCTGTAGCCGGTGTTTCCTGTCACATCTGAAGAGATTGTACTCTGAGATCCATATTTCACCATCATGGTAGTCCTTGGTGTGAGTTTCTGTTAGGGCTGCTAACACTGCACTTGCCTCATGTAGGAGGCCATCTAAGGATTGCACTTTGTTAGATTTGTGTGTTTTTATACCCTGAATGTTGGCAAATAAAAATGATGTCATGTTTGTGAAAGTGCAGGATGCTTTACTT